CTATTGGAATTTTTCTCTGAAGGGAATGTCAACTCTAAGAGGCATGCACATTTCAAAAGTATTTTTTTTTATATAGAATTATGGAGAACAATTTAGGCGGTTTTTTTTTTCAGAATTTTAGTTAGATAGTTTGGAGGGAATTGTAGGATCAATCGAGGAATTGGATGAGAATTCTTAGGGTACAAAAATTTGCTCTCCTCTCTGTAAAAAGCTGATATCATTATTGGCAAGGTGTAAAATAATAAAGAACTGGAAAGCTCTGTATGGAAACTGTCCAAATTATATAAAATTTTCCGGATCATGATTAACAAGTCGAGATATCAAGATTTTGAAGATATGTGCTTCATGGAGTGCGTCAGAGTACCCTTTCGAGTTAGTAAACCGATTGGGACAATGGAAATCTTGGACTGTGGTTACATTCAATTATTTCTAATGTTTCTTCGAGAGCGTGGTTTAAAGGCTTAGGCTTAAGTCGTGACTTCATTCGCGTGATGAGTAGACTTATGTCCAACCACTACTCGCTAGATTCGCATCTCAATAGAATAAACCTTGTGGACAGCAACATATGTCGGTGTGGAAACGCACACTTAGAAATTATTTTTTTTTACAAGAGACGTAATTCAGCTTTGACGTAAATCATGGAACGTAAACAAACATGGCATGTAAAATTAAGTGTCCTGAAACTGAAACATATGCAACTCGACAAAAAGTGCGTTTAATTGAATTGATTTTCTCGTCCTTTTCAACTGACTCTTATATCAAAAGGGCCGCTTGCATGTGTCGGTCTCAGGGCACTGAAATTTACATGTCTTTTTCGTAGTGTGCGGTTACGACGCCATCGATCACGCAGTTTGGCAATGTACGGATAATGACGCCGCCAGAGAGCGACTTTTGAATAAGCTCGAGGCCCAAGGAAGGCAACCCTATATCCCTATCAGAGACGTGTTGTGTACCCGCGATCTCTGCTATATGCAGTCGATTTATGTGTTTCTGCAAATGTCTAGTATAAGAATTTAATTCGTTTGTCTTTTGTATCTCTTTATTAGTTTTTGTTTGTGTTGTCCCCCGTCCCGATGAGCCTCATCGTCACCCACTGGTCACCATAGCCGGTCGAACTCCAGACGAATCTAGAGCCACACTACCGTTCATACTGGCGACAACGCTCTGATGAGACAACGAAACCCTATTCCCAAGCTCCTCCCCTTTTCCTATCCTTCGACAATGTACCCCTCAAACCTCGAGTAAGCCGCGAGTATTCGGCCCAACTCCTACTAGACATAGAATTGAGTGAATTTTGTTACAAACAAAGAACACTGAATTATCGGCTCGGTAAAGCTAACGCGATTGAGCCTTACAAATAAACAATCTAGGTCATTTTATCCTATTCTAGCATACTGCATGACCTTGTTTGTTATTTTCTAATATTATATTAAAAATACACCGCGACTCTTTTATATTTATTTTTTTTATTTATTAGCAATTTATAATTTTTAACGTTTGCGTAATAATATAGGGAGACAGCACCAAACATTCGAGAAACATTCCATAGTTGCTTTGAATGTATGCGTCATGTTAGTTATTTATCCCACTTTTCAGCATTATTGTAAGGAGAGAATAATAAGTATCATACGAGCTAATATTTATTTGCTTAATATATCCACCGACGATCCAACGTGACAGCTCATACAAGCATACAAACACTACCGACATCTACTCATCCGATCGCGTCATACCATGAGCAAGGGCACGAACCCATGTTTGATTTATATTACCTTGGTTTGTGTCTCACCTCGCTTGACAGATCTGATCGCCCGTTTGAAAGTTCGAATCGTTCGTTTGACAATTCGAATTGTGGACAAACGAAATGCTCCTGTGGCATGCCAGTTCGTCGGTGATATATCTTTGACATTACAATGTAACATTCACCTGCCATTGTGAGCTGAGGAGACATAGAACTGCATCTTATTCTATGTACAATACATTTTCCAACCAACACAGACAACCACAAGCCTTGGTAACTAATGCAACCGGACTTTGAACTGCTGACCATGCTAGACCAACAACATCAATCGATAAGTCGTTCGATGTACCGACGATACGCTATCATCAACGCAGCAGAATTGAACTTGGAGACAACGTGATCAAATGGGCACCAACGAACGACGAGGAATCCACTGATGCTGTGGTATGACAAACGGAGTCTAGGAGGGAATAAACAATAACATTTTCTTGATCCTACCGATTCGATTGTGGTGGTGTGAATTCTACTCCAACAGATTTAGTGAGATTGACGCGTCCTTCTTAATTAACCATCCTGTAGGAAGCTTAATAAGCATTGAGAATTGCGTTATTCGATTTGTTGGATCGTATCGTTGGAAGGAGATTTTTAAGTTCCTCTGTTTACGGGTCCACCCTTCCGTTGTTGACCTTCCATACAGCGATATTGTGAATTCTAATCGGTAGCTTAAATTGATCTTGCTATTAAGTGGAGCTGCATACAAGACAATATCTTCGAAGGGATGATGGCTATCTTACATACAAACATACATCTCAAAATAGTTGCTCAATAGGTACAAAAAACGTATAGTTCGCACTCAGTTGTACCATAATTTCAAGGACCGTAATGTTTTTTGAAACTCTCATTTAACAAGCACAACACAAGTTAGATTTGTTGCTCAAATGTTTTATACAATATCACAGTAGCATATAACATTAGACTGGCCCACAAAAATAAAAGTTAAATTTTTCCTCGGGCCAAACACTAGATTTGTGCCATTAGGTGAGAAAACCATTCCCTGGAAGTTTCAGCTAATTTAGTTGTAAGATTAGCTGCCACTTTTAATTTGAAGTTTGTATGGGAAATTTTGATAAAATTCATAAAAAATTACACCCCTACACTCTATCGATAGTTAAAAAAAAAATTTCAAAACTTGTACTGCCGTTTTACGCATAACTGTCCAATGTTCTATGAAATCCTTATGGACAGTGGAACTCTTATGCGTATGCGGCTGTGTAGTTCAAACAATTAGTATTAACTTTTCTGAAGAGTGCATTATGAATCCGGTTAGGTTTATTGAGATATTTGCTTTTGATTGTATATGAGCATTTTGCATTTGAACAGTCCTTTGAGCAGCTCAGTGTTAAGCGAAACTCCGCCTACCGTGGCTGCGGCGTCCCAAACCAAACGTACTTTACCCGGCTTCCGAGGGTTGAGCACCACGTTCAAGGGAAGGTACCACACCTCATTTTTCAGCCATCCAGCTAGCTCCTCCTCTGTAGCTTTGTGCGCGTAGCCCTTCATCACGTACTCCGCTATCTGTTGGTGGACATTTTGCTTCAGATCTGGACTTTTTTTTTTTTCCAGTTTCCTCTCCAGTGCCTGTAACCGCCGGGCCGCCATCGGGTAACTGTCCGGGAACCTTCTTTCGTTTTTACGCCACAGCAAGCCCGTCTCGAATCTGTCGCCGATCCGCACTGTCGTTGCTTGGAGAATCTCACGTGCGCGTATGTTTTCAGCTGACTCTGGAACTGAGATGCAAGAAGTACCGGTGTCCTCCAACAAGTACTGTGTTCGCAACATCTCATAAAGATCCTCGTTCCGAATTGATTCGACGGAATGAACGTTCATGTAACTTTCTGCAGTAGCAGCTGCAGCAGGATTTCCTGGTCCGTAGGTGGTCCACCCAAGTTTTGACCGTACAGCGATCGGCTGGCCAGGCTCACCCACTCGAGTTTCTAGTGGAGCGAATACGTGTAGGTTGTCCAAACCGATTATGATACGAGGCTCCTCCGCAGCGTTACTTACTACTGGCAAATCCGTCAGGTGAGAGTAGCGATCCGCGATCTCCTCGAACTGCATGCAGTGACACGGCAGCTTCAATTCAACCACCGTACGTGCGTTCTTCAACGATAGTATCTCGCGAGATCCTCTAGCCGACAGTTTGAGATTTACCTTTTTCGATTGATTCTCGTAGCGCTTCACGTTGCCCGTCCACGTAACCACCAGTGGTTCGCAAACCCCCTCCACGTTCAGCTCGTTAATAACAAATTCCTCCACCAGCATAGTGGATGACCCTTCGTCCAAAAAGGCCAGAACATCCATTGCATATTTCCGGAAAAATAGAGTAATCGGTACCATACGGAAGATGATGGCACGACTCAACCGTCCGTGGGCGTGGCACTCGACATTTAGCAGCTGTACGACTCCTTCCGCTCGATGAAGCAGAGGATGGTGTCCACCTTGACATCCGGCAACGTTGCAGCGGATTTTAAAGGTGCATCGACTTTTGCCGTGGTTATTAAGGCATAGCGCGCAGAGTTTGTTTTGCTCCACCGTCTTCAGTCGATCAGTGATGCTGAGCTTCTTGAAATCATCACAGAATCGTAGCTTGTGATCTGTCCGCTTGCAAACCCAACACGGCTTGATTCCTTTTGCCTCCTTCGGAATTTCAGGCTTGTTCGAAGCAGAACCGTGGACATGAATGAATTCTTTTTTCTTCGGTTTTCCTTTTACGGGACAAGTGGCTTCGTTCAGACCGAGAGCAGAAAACTCGACAATTTGCGACACATTGGAAAGAATATCATTCGTGAAGTCGGTGAATATTCGCAGCGGAGTCCCTCTTTTCTCCCGTTTATATCGGACCCAGTCCAATTTGTAGTTGGGCGGAAGTTTGTCGATCAACTCGTTCACCAACATCGGATTGCTGAGATGATGTGACAAGTGGGCCGCCTCGAGGTGGTCATAAAGGTGTTTAACCGTGATCCCAAACTGGATGAATGATTCCAAGCGGTCGGCTTTCGGGGGTTGAGCATTGCGCATCTTCATCAGTATTAAGCAGCTTTTCAGGTTTCCCAAAAAGACGTCGGAGGTCATCGATAACATCGGGAACGGATTCCGAAAGAATAAGTCGGCTCCTCACCGCTTCGAGTGCGCTCCCTTGCAAACTGTCGTGCAACCGCTTCATGTTATCCAAATTTGAGTAACCACACGCCGACGTGGTTTACTCGTAGCTGCTGATAAAAATAGGCCACAACTCCGGTTCACCCTTAAAAATTGGCGGGTTTTTGGAGAGAGCTTGTCGAGCAGCTATCTGTTCTTTGGACAACTTAATGTTGGTCTGAACGTGCCACTGTGACGTCTTTTGCTGCTGAATCTTCTGGTTCTTCTTCGTCGGCAGCTGTTTTTTCAACGACGGCTGTTGCTTTTCCGTAAATTGCTGCAGCTTTTTTGTCGACGGCTGCCGCTTTTTATCAGTTAGTAGGCGAGAAAGAAATTCGTGTTCCTCTCGGGATATCTGGAACTCCTCATCTTCATCCTCTGATTCCTCATCACCTTCCTTATCTTCATCCTCGCCTTCTTCTACATCTTCATCCTCGCCTTCTCCTTCATCTTCATGCTCGCCTTCCTCCGATCCTTCATCCTCATCTTCGTCCGATCCTGCTTCTTCTTCCAGCGTAACTGCTTTATTTTTCGATGAACCTGCAACTGGCTCAACTAGCTTCGTTGTGGTCAGTGGAGAGTTCTTTCCTCCTGTCTGCTTTTTAAGCCAGAACTTCACCTTTTTCTCAAAGGACGTTTCATTTTACTCCTTCGAATGTTACCGCCAACTTTTTCTCGACCAGCAACCGGCTTAGCGACAGTCATTTTCGCTTCTACAAACTCCTCGTACATCTTCTTGCGCCGATCTTGAAAAGATGCTTCCTCGGACAACTCTTTCTCCAGCATTTCGTGCTCTTCCTGCAACTGACGCTCCTTCAGCTCTCGGTCTTGTTGCAGTTGTTTCTCGCGGAATGCCTTCTCCATTTGACGCCGTTTCTCCTGTAGAGCCCTCGTCATTTCCAGTCGCTTCTCACGCAAGATCATTTCGTCTTCCAAGGCCTTTTCCTGAGTACGTTTTTCGTCTTCCAACTTTTTCAGCGAATCTTCCAGGTTTTCTCCGCTTTCCGAAACGGATCCGACGGAAGATCCACCATCGCTCCTTGATTTTTGCCCTATCGTCTTTTTGGCTTCGGCTTTGCTGATTTTTCGGGTTTTCGGAACCTGCAGAGCATTATTGCATTTGATGCAGCGCCAATCCTGCTCTTTCACCTCGTCCGTAACGCCTGTACAAGAGTAATGGGCCCACAGTTCGCACTTATCGCACTGCACCATGTCGCAGATCTTGTTGGGAGCATTGCACATCAGACAATCTCTCTTCTCGGGATCCATCTTTTGAGGATTAAATTCTTTGATTTTGTTGGGATTTATCCCGAAACAATTCCTTGGATCAAACGTTTTGTTTGTGTGCTGCTCAAAGCTAAAAATGTATATATTTAAATATAAAGATCTTTTCAACAAATTAGGTATAATTACTTACAATTTAGTTTCTTAATCGGCAAAATCTCTTCCTCGTGCGGATGGGCACCCTATTAATGCACTTGTATCAAGTTGAATTTTCTAATTAAATGTCGTTTGTAAGATATTATTTATAAATTAGTTTAAGATTCAACAAGATATCGATATTTTTAAACATTTAAGGGTCTTTTATGAGAGTTTACGAGATTTTTAAACTCACTTTCTGCTATGTTCGTATAGTCCAACCGCCTCGATTCCCTCGTATAGGTCAGGTCATAAACTCACCTAATCCATAAATATTTATCCTATTTTAATTCGATTCAATTTGTACTTACTAGATTAGCAATAATTTCAATAATCTTTAAGATTTACACAAAGCACTTTTCTCAATTAAGGTAGAATTAATTAAATTTGCTTTATAAATTCCGCCACCACGTTGTAACGATTGTGAAATAATTGTTCCTTTTTTTTTTTTTTGCTTTCTATCTTCTGTCTGTCTGTCGTGTCGTGTTGTTGTAAAGAACGAACTACTCCAGTTGATCACTCTGCGTTGCGTGCCCTGCGGTTTAAGCCGCAACAATATTATTGTATCTTACAAAAACCAAATATCATCATTATATCTTATTAATTCATAATACCGAAAAACATTGTTCACAGAAGTAGAAGAGAGACAGGCGACATAAATGTGACCTCGGCCCAGGTCAAGGAGAAAGCAAACATCCGCTCAGACAGGAAACCTTTCCCGGATGGCCCTAATAACCACCACATTGACAATAAGGAATGCTTTACTACCTCTTCCGATCAGATAAAAATCGGCCTCGTCTCGTAGATCGTTGCAATTGATTTCCCTACCCACATTTGTTCGGCTTCTGTTCTGTTCCTCATAACATCAATCATGCATGGCACTATTCAGCAACCAAAAAAAAAAAAGCACAAGATTGATAAGCATTTATTACCGAACAGCCGAGCTTTTTCCTCATTTTCAGCTCAACACGCACCCAACAAAAGCACAAACCAGAATCGGAAGGCAGACAGTCAATCCGTCTTCGGGGTGCCTTAGTGTTTTTGATTAATTAAGTCTTTGACGAAAGTTGTCTGATGGGCCCGTGCCCGCTGCTGCTAATCTGTTCGAATGACATTCCCCACCCATTTCGGGCGGCAGTTTGGCTGGCTGCCGGGTGACGCTTGGCCGTTTCTCGGAACACAAACGACCCCCGGGTCTATCCACTGTAGGTCGGGTGTCCAATGATGGAATATAATTGTGTGTTTTATGTGTTTCTGAAGACTTGACCAATCATCGCCTGTGCGTGTGATTGGTGTGCTTTTCTCGTGTGCCCGCGTGGGTTGTTGAGTGAATGGATTTTTCAGCATTCCATGACATGTGCCGTCGGATTGGAACCACATGGGGTGGGGGAGTTTGAAGAGAAAATTGGAAAAGTGCAAGATGGAATCATTTTCTAAATTAGCGAGAGTTAATCGAATGGAAATGTGTGAGATTTTGGCGTTGGATGAATATCGCGAGAATGGTTATTCCGAAAGAATTTTTGAATTACATTTGCAAGCGAAGTGATTTTCAATGCCACATATTGTTCTACTGTGCAGTGGCAATGGTGGTTCTGAAAATACGCCATGTGTCATTGAATCTCTTAATTGATGATGTCATCGGCTGTTATCAAAAATTCAAATTTCATTATTCTATGCTCCACTGTTAATTAATCACAAACTTTCCGTTCTGAACACACATCATTCCGTTCGTAAACGAATTTCATTTGGCAGACTAGCAAAAAAGCTCCACAATCCCGTTAATGGCTCACGCAATCCCAGTTTGACTTTTCGACGGGTGGACGTGACACTTTGGTTGTCACTTTCATTAGCGGAAGCCTCTCATCAGGCTCTGTGTCCAGTCCTCTAACGCCGGCTTTCACATCATGGTGAACGTGCATTGCACCGGAGAAATCAGCCATTGAAAAAGGTAAAAAACATCAAAATTTTCCGCTCCAAAAATTACGTACACCCATGTTTCGACCAATGGATCCTTTCCGCGAATAAACTTGTTATGCAAATTTCGCATGTTTGGTGCCGGCACGAAGATGGGAAAGGCTGTTGTTTGCAGGTTGAAATGGAAGACTACCGTCGTCGTCATCGTCAAAACAAAAACTTCATTAAAGCCCCGGTCCTGGCTTGGAAGTAGACCTGCTAACTCAGGTGCACTTGCTTAGTCGGGCGTGAGGCAGATCCCCTAGTAAAAGGAACAACAAGTATCGTTAGGAGGTGTTTTGTATATTTTTCAAGCGGAACTTTTATCCATTTGAGGCTGGGGTGGGTAGAATCGTTATTTCAAAATGGTTTGTCTACTTTTCTTTTGAGATAGGAAGTGGATTGCCAAAATGATGGAAAGAGTGGTGGTAAGCGTCAGAATGATGAGACTCTCGTTAAAAAGAACGCCGGTTCTCGACGTGTGGTTGTCGTCGTTGTCGGCGTGACAATGGTGATGGTGGAATCTCTCCTCTTATCCTCTCTGTAGAAGTTCTCAGCTGCACCTTTGTGAGATTGTTGTTCACCCGGCTTACAGTTGAACCGCTTGAAAAACTGACTTTCCTTTTAAAGCCCGGTGGGCCAAGTCTTATATAATAATCAACTCAACTCAACGAGATCGGAAAACGGCTGTGTGTATGTGTGTGAGCTTGTAACGAAATAAAGTAGGGTGTATTTTTCGACAATCGCTGCACCAAATAGGATGAAAAACTTAAATGATAGGTTTTGTGGCCCTATTGAACGCTATTGAATATTTTAGGAATTGATCAACCGGTTTCGGAGATATGACCGGATCATGTTCGGATGAATACTAGAAGCGACCTGCAATGTATCAAACCCATCTTGAGACACCTCAAATCACATTAGAAATCGAAGACAAAATTAATTTCTAGCGGCGCCGGTGGTGTAGTGGTATGCGTGACTGCCTCTCACTCCAGCAGGCCTGGATTGAATCCTAGTCGGCACGGTGAGGGTTTTCTAAGACATAATATCTCTGATCACTCTTACTTCCCTTCGGAAGGGAAGTAAATCCGTTGGTTCCCGGTCCATGAGTTGATGGTTCGATAGGTAGGGTCCAGGTGTAGGAGCTGTCTCCCTGCCGTCAGTAGCATTGGTACTCAGTACGGAAAACAAGATCGATGGAAAACAAATCAAGGAGAGATAAAAAAGATTAATTGCTGTCACAGTGCGGATCTAGGACCACAAAGGCCACATCCGGACATGTTCCGGCTAACCTAGGGGTATCCAGTGACCAGTTTTTAAAAAGGGTCAAAACCCATCAGGTGGTGTCATGTCGCAATAAAATTAATTTTAATTAGTAAGAAGGGTCAGGTTTCTCTTTAGGTGGATACATATAGGTTTTTAGCCGGCGCCGGTGGTGTAGTGGTAAGCGTGACTGCTTTCTAGCACCCCAATGGGTCTGGGTTCAATCCTAGCCGAGGTCGGTGGGATTTCTCTGGTCACGTCTTCCTTCGGAAGGGAAGTAAAGCCGTTGGTCCCGGCCCATGTGTGAATGGGTGCGATATCCTACGCAGGTGTGGAAGCTGCCTTCCTGCATATTCGATTGCCGTCAATGGATGGCAATCGATGTCCGTTGGTGATTGGCACTAGATTGCGGAACAGAGACCGACGTTAAATAAAGGAAAGAAGACATATAGGTTTTTAATAATTTTTTGGTTCTTTTCGGCTCTTGAGTTGACGGTGATCTTCATTCTTTTCCACGACATCTAGATCCTTCTTTAACAAGGGAGACCAATGGTTAAAAATACTATCGAATGTCAATACCATTTGCCTAGGTGCATTTATTTCCTCTGTTCGGGACCTAACACCACTGCGACCAGTAATTTGATCTATTGTAGTATATCCCGTGTCTTCAGTTTAGTGCATGTCGTATAATTCCTTCACTATTGAGATTGTCTTACAGTTGCCATTATTGCATTTAACGCAAGGATCCGACTCTAATTGAAAGGTCCCTCTATTTGTACCCTTCGAAGTGTTAAAACACTCTCCAAAGGCGCCTCCCTTTGTCAGTCAAAATTGGATTCCTTAGCAAAAAAATTAAACAATGACACCGATAATGACCAGGCATCAGAACCCTAGTCTTAACCACTTCAAACTAGGGAACAACGAATAGGAGATTAGGAATCACATAGATTAAAACAGCTAACTCATTTCTTCCTTGTTTCAAGATCATCCTCGGTGGACAAAGCCGTGTCTTGTCACTATCAACAAGCCATAAAAAGTAACAAGCACTAAGATGTGTTCCTTTGATTACTGAAAAATCCTGTTCCCCTAGTTTGAAGCAAGGTTGCAAAGACTCATTTCAGCTAAAACAATGTTTTTCTAAATTATGAAATAATTAGATGCCATGATCAAATTTTGAATTGGTAGGATACAAGAAGAGGTTGCAAAGAATGTGTTTGACATATTAAACCTGTTTATTTCACTTCATGAGAGTCACAATCAGCGATTTTTCACAAACTCACTCACTCACTCACTCACTCACTCAGCGATCAGAAAATCGCTGATTGTGACTCATAGAAAGCAAAATTTACAGGTTTTATGTTTCCAACGCATACTTTGTAACCTCTTCTTGTAAGTTACAAGTAAAACATGCCATCATACCATCTTTTGGTTTTATTATTCTGAAAAACATTATTTTAGCTGAAATGAGTCTTTGCAACCTTGGTTTGAAGTAGTCAGGAATAGGAGTCGGTGGTAGATCTTACATCCAGTAACGTACCACAAAAAGGTGACCTACAAAAAAATGTGCTGGTTGGTCAATAGCTTTTAATCTGCCAGTCAATATGTTTTAACAGTACATAGCACCACCTAGAAAA